ACAGTATAATTACCTTTAATGACAGAACAATTACGGTCAACGTTAAGTGGCTGGCGTAAAAAAAAAAAATTTGAAAAGTCAACTCCGGAATCCGGCGGCAAAAAAATATTTAAAAAAAAAAGTTTTCGAAAAAAGAGAAGTCAATAGTACATAATAATAATGACTTTTGTTGTGTTAATATTACTGTGTTAAACTGTAGTATAATTAATGATATTACTGTGTTTAACAGTAATATAGTTAATATTATTTTCAACCACAACAATCTTGTTGTTTAAACGGGGGGCAAAAGGATGTTAAAGAAATTAAAAAAAAAATCGAAAAAGTCAACGTCGGAGACCAGCGTTGATCGGACGGTCAACGCTGGAAACTGGTTGCGAAAAAATCAGGAAGAAAAAAAAAATAATTCGAAAAATTTGAAGCTGAAAACTGGAGGAAAAATTAGGAAGGAAAAAAAAATCAACGCCGGAGACCAGCGGTTAACGGCGGTGGCGGACGAAATTGTCCATAAAAATGTGTTTTGGGTCAAAATTAAATAACCTGTGAAATTTGTGGTCAAATTAAGGTTAGATTAAATTAAATGATGAAATTGGAGCATATTAAAGTACGAGGGGCTATTCTAGTCTTTTACAAACCTCTGGAACATGTGTGTATTTTTTTGTAAATAAGTTTATTGTCTGAACATCTTTATGAATAAATGCACATTGATGGACTTATTTATAAAGTGCCTTTAAAAAAAAAATCCGGCAGTGGGTTGTCGGAGCTCCGGTTAGCTGACTGGTCGTTAGTTAACTTCAACATTAGTTGACATTTCATATTTTTTGTGTTTTGTCTTTTTTTTCTAATTTTTTTTCTCTAACGGCGGATCGTCGGAGCTTCGATTGGCTGACTCAGCATTAGTTAATTTTAACATTAATTGACATTTGACATTTCATTTTTATTTTCTTTTATCATTTTTTCTTTCTCTTAATTTACTTGGATGATAAGCATATTATTCTGAGCCCGTTCTTTTGGTGGAATCAAACCACCCCTTTATCTATAGTAACTATGGTTGGGATGCCGGCCCCCCGTATCCCGACTTATCCAACCCAAGCAGTCCATTAACCTTTCCTTTCGTAAAAATGAAATCTCTTTTTATGCAAGACCATGAGACGAATGAGACTCTAAAACAAAAATGACCACTTTACGACATCACAAATATCAATCAACGAGCATTCAAACAAAATCCAATTATACGCATATATACACGGCAATCACACACAATATCATATACATAACCACTTAAGTATAGCACATAATTCACATAATTATTATAGCATCATATTATATATTTATATATCATAAATTACACACACAACAGCACACACACACGGCACACACATATACACACAACATGCAGCCCCAAAACACACTTTAATTAGCATTAAATTATCAAACCATGCCCTTAAAGCACCAACATTTTTATCTTTTCATTAATGGGATTTCTCCCACTTTTATTCATTTAATGAATTAAAAATTCTTACAGCCCCTTAACATAGTTCAACTGGAGATTTTTAACCATAAATTCACATTCTCACAATTAATACTCAAGGCATAATGATTAAAACACGAAAGTTCCATTTATGATACATGCACAGCCAATATTTCGAAATAATAGCAAATGGCATCTAAATGTTCTCAAATTAAATTATAGGCTGCCTAACTGACTAAGTGAACAGATGCAAAAAGAATTTTGCAGTTTCCTCAGAAATTGGATTTATAAAAAATAAAATACTCGGCAAGTAGTGTTGAAGCCAAAAATGATTTTTCCAACAAATATTAATCCCAAACTATGGCCAAATAGAAAATAACAAAATTCCACTTACTCCTACTGAGATTTTAAAGGTGAAAACATTTTTCATGCTGAAATTTCAAGAAATTGCAGATTAGTCCTAAAAATTCATATACTATCTACACATGCAACCCCAAAAATCTTGAAAACTCATTTTCTTTTTCCAAAATTCCCAAAAATTCAAAATATTAAACCTTTAAACAAAAAATGCTTAGATTCACAGATTATAACATGGATTAGACATGCAAGAACACAAATACCAAGATTAGCACAAGATTTCAGATTTTACACAAAAAGCCCTAATTTTTCGAAAAGTGAGGAAATCTTTTAAGTAGTTTTGAAAATCCTTTTTCCTTACTATGATACCCTTTAATTGGAGCAAGATATTCGAGATTTCTTACCTATCAAAGCGTGTTGGCCGAAGAAAGAAAAACCTTCAAAAGAAAAGAGGGTTTTTAGAGGAAGAAAAGGAGGATGAAGAGAAATGAAGAAAACGAAGATACAATGTTACCTCCTTCAAGAAGTGGCTCCAAGATTGAACCAAGCTAGTTGAATGGAGAAGGGAAGAGCTTTGATATCAAGTTGGGAGGAGTTGAGATCTCCCGTAAGAGGGCAAGTGTTTTTGATGGTGTTCTTGGCATATTCAAGGGTGAAACTTATATAGGGGATTTGCATTTTGATTTCTATATTTTTTTTCTTGAAGAAATTTGAGCTGGTGGCCGATGGAGGAGGTGGTGCTTCGGTGGTGATGGTGGAGAGAGGACAAGTGGGAGTGTAGGTGTAAAAAAAAAGAAGAAGGTAGAGTGTCTCTTCACATTACTAATCCACATTGAGTGTTGGATTAGTGTAAATCATCACACTTTGACATGTGGACAAGCATGCATCTCTTTTCTAATTTTATTTCTTAATTAATAAAATATTAATCTCTCTCATACACACAAAACCGAACACACACATATACACATATACATGTACCTATATTACCTATAGTCTAGAGTAGGTTATAGCATAGGCATATATGTATGCATACATGTACGTATATATGCATGTTTTATGTATGTAATTATGATTAAATCATGAAATCACATAATTAAATTAATTATACACATAAGTCACATAATTTAATCTAGCACACAATTATCAATAATTAATCCATTTAAGCACATAATTATCGAAATAAAGTTGGCACATAATTATTCAACAAATTCCTAGCACATAAGGCATATAATCAAATCGGCATATAAGGATTATTAGTCTAAGCAAATAAGGCACTTAAAGCAATTAAGTTGATAAGGTAAATAAATTCCTAATAATTCCTACGTGAGAATTTTCGGTTATGGAATTTTGGTTAGGGATTAGGGTTTCGAAAATGTGGGGTGTTACAATCTTCCCCCCTTAAAATAATTTTGTCCCCAGAATTGTTACCTGACCCGAATAATTCCAGAAAGTGTTTACGCATTTCCTCTTGGCGTTCCCACGTGGCTTCTTCTAAAGTATGATTATGCCACGAGACTTTAACTAAGCGAATGTTTCGGTTACGTAGGATTTTGGTTTTGTATTCGAGGATTTGGGAGGATTTTTCTTCGTAGGTTAACTAACTCAACATTAGTTAACTTTAACATTAGTTGACATTAGACATTTTTTTCCCTTTATCTCCTTTTTTTTAATTCGGTTTCGGTGGTGGGTCGTTGGGGCTCTCATAACGATTTTAACTACTACGATTTTATTTTTATTATTATTATTATTATTATTATTATTATTATTATTATTATTATTATTATTATTATTATTATTATTATTATTATTATTATTATTATTATTATTATTATTATTATTATTATTATTATTATTATTATTATTATTATTATTATTATTATTATTTAAAAAAAACTAATTTCATTTATTTCTTTTTTATTTTTTTCTAGTAGTGGCCTGGATGGTGGGAGCTCTAGTTAGCTGACTCAATATTAGTTAACTTCAATTAGTTGACAACTTGACATTCATTTTTTTTTCTTTTATATCATTTATTTTATTTTAATTTATTTTTTCCGGCGGTGGGTCATTGGAGCTATAGTTAGCTGACCCAGCATTAGTTAACTTCAATTAGTTGAAATTCATTTTTTTTTTCTCTTTTTATTTTTTTTCCTTTTTTAATTTTCTTTGTAGCACCCCCCTCGGGTCGGGCGATAAATCGAACCGGTTTATCGGAAAACTTTAGATAGCGGAAGCAAAAAGGGATCTCTTTGTAATTTTAAAACTTTCGAGTAGGACCAAAATGTAATTTCTAAAAATATCTTTTTGGGTCATTTGAAAACCTTGGAAAACCTTAAGAATTTCGAAAACTCCTTAGGGTTATTTTGGTCGTTTAAATTTCTCGTTTTAGAAATAACTTTAAAAAGGCATATAATCAAATCGGCATATAAGGATTAATAGTCCAAGCAAATAAGGCACTTAGAGAAATTAATTTAATAAGGTAAATAAATTCCTAAAAATTCCTACATGAGAATTTCCGGGTTATGGAATTTTGGTTTTTATGGTTTTTTTTAAAATTGTTTTTAATTCCTTCAATTAGAGCCAATGACCTGATGACACGTGGCAGTCTTTGGCTATAAATAGCTGGAAAATTGAATTAGCTGTAGCTAAGTTGAGGTTTATAATGATGAATGGCTAGGCTATAGCAGGTTTCTTTGTATGTTTGGCACGAACAAAAATTATTAATTTAAAAAATGTAGCAATGGAACTCATATAATTGTTCATGATTTGACAAATAAATGCCTAATGAAATTTTTCTTTTCCCTCAAAAAGTAAAGAAACCCATTTCTGGAAACTCCAATACAACTTCCATATTTTTCAGTCACTTTCCAAATCTAGGTTTTGGCCTTCTTCCCTCTTTCCCCTCTTTCATTCTTCAGAGCCGCCTCCACAGCTTAGCCAACCTTCTGTTATTGGTGCTGTTCAGGGTATGATTACTGGTCTTGCTTGCATTACTCCTGGTGCAGGTACCGTGCTACCACCCCTCTATTTCTATTTCTATTTCATTTCATTATTTATTAATTAATTAATCAAAATTACATTTACAGTAGGTGTGTAATCTTATTGCACAAACATAAAGAGTTGAATTTTTTTTTGTGTAACTCTTATTTTCTTTATGCTTTTTCCACATTTTTTGATCTCTTTGTTTCTTCAGCTTTTTTTTTGAAGAAAATATTTTTTTATTTTCTTCTAATTTTTTCACAAAATAAATATTGGGTAGTCATTTATTGTATTGGGCATAAGACATTTTATGATTATTCACCAAATTTATTTGATATTGTTTACAAAATTTCTTAACAGGTTATTAATAAAAATGTCGATGTGAGAAGGAAGAGAAAGTTGGTTTTGCCTACAGCAAATAAGTTGATCTGTAAGTAATGCTCAAAAATTAAATACACTATATTAGATGATCAGATTCCATGTGTAGAAATACACTAGTTGTATTCATTATTGCAATATGGAGCTAGATATATGTGTATAATATGTATCATGTGTTGTCATTACTTTTTGAGAGAGAGAGAGAGAGAGAGAGAGAGAGAGAGAGAGATAACAGAGGACAAAAGAGATCATGTTTGTGTATTTTTATGTGTTTGTGTGTGAGTGTTTGTCACAAAAGTGTGTTTGTGTGTGTGTGTGTGTATGTCAAAAGTATGTATATGTCAAAATGTGTGTGTGTGTGTCAAAAGTATGTATATGTCAAAATGTGTGTGTGTGTCAAAAGTTTGTGAGTGTGTGTATGTGTGTGAAAAATGTGTTTGAGTGTGAAAAATGTGTGTTTGGAACCAAGTGGATCATGGTTGGATCCAAACATTAGTCTACATAAGTTGAGTAGAAATTATTTTGATTTTTGTTGCCATCTTTGTTTGTTTACATAGTTTTTATTTATTTATTTTAATTTCTTTTTCTTTAAAGTGATATATCTGCTTTTCTTGCCTTTGTTTTTCAGTTCGCATATCTTCTTAACTTTTGGACTATCCGTGCCGCCGAGCCGCCGCCGCCATTTGTACCGAAAATCTACGCCGCCGCCGACACTCTTTCTCCAAATCTTGTACGCTCTGCTCGTCATCGCCGGCATCACTCTAGGTATTAACTATTACATTTCAATTATCTTTGTTTGCACACATTTTTTTTATTTACTTTCTCTTTCTTTAAAGTGATATATCTGCTTTTTACTCCCCTTTATTTTTCTTTACATATTTCTTTGCATTATATATCTCAATATGAATTAATTATTTTTAGGAAAGTTGTAAACTGAGAATGGGCATATAACATGCCGTCTAATGTTCGTATGCATCTGATATATGTTCTTGCACCAGTAATTGGTCGGTAATTTTTCTCAATATCACTTGTTTTTTCCCCTGCCAAAGAATGTTCTAAATTCACATTTTACAAACTCCATATTTTCTGCAAGCTTTTATTGCCTTGAGAGAATTAAAATTGAGGAAAGTCTTGTGTGCCTTGAGTAATTCATAGGTAATACAAATGAATAGGCATTTGAGAAATTCCACACTTACTTAAAACTATAATTTGGTGCCTTAGTGTTGTTGGGGGTAAATTTATTTAACTAACGAGTTTCATTCGAACGAGTGAGTGAGAAGCCTATTGATAACTTTGGCTGGAATGTTGTCAATCCCTTGAATTTGATCTCTATGCAATGTTAGGAATAACCTAAAAGAGTTAATCCTCGTAGTCATAATTTTGCTTTTAGAGTAATTGTTTTTAATACGATATTTAGATTCAAGTCCAATTATTTTCCTTCAAGTAATTTTTTTTTCATTTGCAACACCGGGACTATAAAACATTACCAGACATGGCAGGCGTGGCAGTGGTAGATCCTAACTTAGCTCAAGTTGATGAACCGTTTATTGGAGGTATGTTTTTCATGAGTTTATTGCATTTACTAAATGCAATATACTCATTTTCATAATCTATTTTTTCTTTTCCTTTTTTTTTTTCCTAAATAAATTGGGAACAACAAACAAATTTTCTTTCTTTTGTAGGGTCTAATGTTACCAAAAAAATCGTAGACCTTATAGATAAGTTAGATAAGGATAGTGTTGCGATAATGAAAGAAGACACTGATCTTGGGAAAGAATTAAGTGATGTTGTATCTTCTATTAGTACGAATTTAAGTGTCTGCATCGCCATATCAATGGCTGCAACTAATCTAGCTAAGGGGCACAAAGAGTCTTCACATTTTTATTAGGGTAAATAGCATTAAACCACCTGAACTTTTTAGGTTTTTGCACATCACCACCTGAACAAAATTTTTTTGCAGGAGTTCATCTGTACTTAATTAATTGTGCCACATTGCCCTTTTTTACCTGTTTGCAGGTCAAAATGACCTGTTCTCACCGCACGTGCGTTTCACATGACAAATACAAGGCTATTGATGTCTTTTCACTTCCTAAAATACTCAGCTCTAATTCCTGTTGAAATTCACACACTCTCACACATTTCATTCCATCCACTCTTTATCGTTTTCTAGGGAAAATGAAATCAAAGTAATTCCAAATTACAAAAGTCACAAGTGTGTTTGGTTCAGAAGAAAATGAATCAAAGTAATTCCAATTTCTTTAGTTCGATTTGGTATTCAGACGAAAATTAGAAGATAAATTATTGTTGGATAATTTTTTATAAAATAATAAAACCAAAAAAAAAAAGCACTTTCAGACCCAACCCCCTACCAAAACCCACCCATACCCACCCAAAACTAAAACTGAAACGGCGTCGTATCTAGGGGATGGACTTGCCGTTAAATTCAAGTCCTGAAGGGGCAGAATTGGGTGAAGCAGTGTGGGGATGGTGATTAGAGAAACGATAGGCTTATTACCTTCGTGTTTGATTTTCTCCGGTGCGACGGTGGTTGGGTTGGTGGTTGTTGTTGTAGCAGCCACATGCTAATTCTTTTTCGGTTCCTCCTTTGGAGTGAGGCAGCGCCAGCTGGGGGCGGCGATTGGGGACTACCACCGGCGGTGGTTGGGGTGACGGTTTTTACAGCCGCCGCCGCCGCCGCCGCATGCTAATCTCTTTTGTTGGTTCCTCCTGTGGAGTGAGGCGGCATCGGCAGAGGTGGCGATGGGTAACTAGCACAACCAAAAAAAGAATAAGAAGAGAGGAAGTACAGGGGAATATAATAATGGAGGGAAGGGGAGAATGATAGACAAATTAGAGAAATGAGAAAAATGAATGATAAATAATGGGAATAACGGTGAAATTGAGGGAGAATAGAAGCAATTGGGGTTTTTTTTAATGGAAAAGCCAATAATACCCTTGGATTTCGCATGTGCAAAGCGCGTTTGTCAAGAACCGGTCATTATGACCTGAAAACCACCGGCAAAAAATGGCAAAGCGGCACAATTAATTGAGTACAGGTGAACTCGTGCAAAAAAATATTGTTCAGGTGGTGAACCGCAAAAACTTAAAAAATTTAGGTGGTTTAATGCTATTTACCCTTTTTATTATGCCTACTTGGCTCTGATTTCTCTAGCCATCATTTTAAGTTTCTTATATTCGGCCGCTTATAAGCGAGTTGATCGTGAGGAAATGGAGAAAAGAGGGAGAAATATTAATCGTAGGAAGCTGTTATTGCAAGATATGGCAAAGATTATTAGGTTGCAGTTACAACCACTAGGCACTACGGAACCACTGTATTGGAATTGCTTGGAAAGAGTAAATCATGTCATTAGTACTCTAGACAAAAATGAGCATAGGAAATTGAATGGGTGGTGGTATTTGCCATCTTGCATGCCTCAAATCATTTTCATCATCTCTACTGCTGGTCTTGTGTGCTTGGCATTGTCGTCAACAAAAGGTAACTTTAAATTACAACTTGTGCTTTAAATTACAACTTGCGTTTAAAATTACAATTTGTGCTAACGAATTGAATTTTCATTTTTCTGTGATACAGCCCCGAACGAAAGTACTTTGGCTCCGGCTCCAGCTCTTGCTCCGGCTCCGAGTGGATGAACATGATGTGGTGTCAAGATATTACTAGGGTAAATTTTTTGGTGATTTTACAGATGTAGCTTCAAATTTTAATATTCTAAACATACTATGTTTGATGTTATTTCTTACTACCACTTCTCATATTTCAGCAATATATTTTCGATCATCATCTGAAAGTACAAGGATATCTTAAAACAAAATTGGACTTTTGAATGTCACCGTTTAATTTAACTTTGAGCTATCTTTGACTTCGGTTATTTCTTTCAACTGCAGCTGTTGGTGTATCATCTATGAGGGTACAATGTTGATCAGCCTCGAAATCTTGCAAAAAATGTGACAACTCAACGATGAATGAAACAGAGCTGCTCGTGTAATCCTTTTTGGCTGTTCTTCTATCGGATTTTTATTTTATTTTTTCCATCTTTTTTTTTTCGAGGAAATGAGTTTAGGAGTGTGACAAATGGCTGTCTTTCTACTGAATTTTGCCTGCACAAACAGATAAACTAATCTCGGTAGACAGATTAGATGACTAACTGTTGTGAAGTAACATTGTCTGAAACTATAATAGGCTATATATTTGTTGTTAAATATATAAGTACATATTTAGTTTAAAAGTATTTTATATATTAAAAAAAATGTTGTACAAAAAGTCAATTGGTTGGTTATTATTGACCAGTCGATCTTTCAAGAGTTTAGTAATTACGAATTAAAATAATAATTCCAACTTCAAATGGTCAATGAATACTCGACTATCGACTATAATTTTTTGCTCCACCATAGACAGACAATTGTGTAAAACATACTATGGAAATCTATATATAATAATATATACAAGTTTTGAAGTATATCAAAAAACCTGTTATATAACATATATAAGGTTTTTATTGTAATAAAAAAACAACAAAATTTGAATTCCTTAATCACAAGGTTTTCGTCTTTTTATCTCCAAATTTTCAGTTCCTAATATAAGTTCACATTATGCCATGATCAAGATTTTGTGTAGGCTGTTAACAGCAAACACAATGAAGGGGCTGATGGAAACTAAAGCATGCGTCATTTTTTCTTTTTTGTTTTTTATTTAACTTTTGAATAAACTTGTAGGAACTTTTAACACAATATATATATATATATATATATATATATATATATATATATATATATATATATATATATATATATATATATATATATATATATATATATATATATATATGACCAAGTTTTGAAGTTACAAATATCCCTTTAGGTGCTACAAATACAATTTTGATTTAGGGCAAATTACGAACATCCCCTGAGGTAAGGTCAAATTACGAAAACCCCCATCATGTTTGGGTAATTACAATCACCCATGTTTTTAAATATTTTCAATAATTTCTTTTTGTAATTCGGTTATTTATCGAACCAAATTGTATTTTTTGGTTCGGTAAACGATATGAAATGTTGGCGTACCGAATTTTCGTTACGGTTTTACCGAATTAACATTCATAAACTTACCTTTGAAGAGGTTTTTTCGTAAGATAACATATAGTTGATGAGTGGTTAGAATTACCAAAACAAGAGGGGTTTTTCGTAACTTACTTAATCATACCTCAGGTGTAACCGTAATTTGCCCTTTGATTTATCAATAAAATCCCTTTAAAATAATAAAAATACGTTATAGAATATACCCTATTAGCTCACAAGATTTACAATATATAAATACGTATACTAATAAACATAAGAGAGTAATAATGCTTTTGAGAGAAGTGCAAATTTATAGTAGCCGAAACACCGAGTAACGGACCTATCACCGGTTCATTTACTGTTACACGAAGTAAATAAAATACACCGAGTAAATAATTACCATTCATTAATCCACAAAAATACACACACCTATTGGTGTGTAGGTAAACAGTAAAGATTGCAATCATTTTCTTAACAAAATTTCCTGAGAATACATAATATAAATGCTCGGTTATTCCTTACCATTCGATAAATAACCAGGAAACTCATAAGTATATAATACTAACCAAAAACAATATATATAAGGGGGGAAAATATAATACATTATAATATGTATTCAACAAGAAAAACAAAACGTATCTGTTAGAATCTAGAGGTCTTAAGATATAAGTCCCGGTGACAAATCTTATTAGACTAAATGACAAATCTAACTAAATTTGCTTCACCTCCTTTATCAAAATACATTCCGAAAACGCCCCTCCACTCCTAAACTCAAAATTACAGGAGATTGTAAATATACTATGATGAACTATGGTATTATTTAACATTTTTAAGTTTGCATCTAATTTTTTTTTTACGTGGAACACCTTTTTTTTTTTTTTTTCTTTTTTTCATTTTACGTATTTTTTCATTATATAATCTATTGTTTTCCCTTCTTTTCTATATAAATTGAAAATTATGATTTTTTTAATTTTTTCGGTCGTAGACATCTACAGAAACTCGTACCAACCGTAGTAATCCGTAGTCACCCACACACATCTTGAAACCCTAACTCCTCCTTTGGACACTGGCCGCCAGACATCCATAGACACTCACAGACATCTATAGACATCCAAATCGAAAAATATTAAATTTTCCCATCCAAACCCTAGATCCGCTCCACCCAGGGCCGGCTCAACCCCTAGGCAAAATAGGTAGTTGCCTAGGGCCCCACGTTAAGTGGGGGCCCACCTATACACTTTTTTTTTCCTTTTGTTTTTAACACTAATACGTATTATATATTAGATAAAAAAATATGTATACAGTAGACATTAATTTTTTTTATATTATAAATTTTATATCTATTGTAGGCCTCTCAATTAATTAAGGGTTAATAGCATTTCGCCACCTAGACTTTGCCTGTTTTTGCACTTTACCACCTTAACTAAAAAAAGTTGCAAGCGCCCACCCAAACTCAGTTTTTTGACGCACATAACCACATAAGGGGAATATTCCGGCGAATATTCTCATTTTTCAACGCACGCGCGATGCACATGCGAAAGTTCAAGGGTTTTTCGTCTTTTCACCTGAAAATATCATAAGGGGTGAAATTGAAAGTACCAGGGACTCAATTGAACTTAATTTGAAACTTTCACAAATTTGAAATTAATTGAAGCTTTGTGGCTTCATCTCCCATGGGATAAAAACACCCACCGCTGCAGGCCTGTTTCAAAATGGAGCGAAAAAATCTCCAATAAAGAGATGAATAAGAACAACGACATCAATTTGTTGAAATTCGCCATGGATTAGAGAGACGAAGAACCCAACTCCGGAAGTGATTGAATCAGATTTCGGATTCTCGCTGGATAGCATGTGGTATCGGATGTACCACTGTTCTTCCTCGTCGCCGAGGTGCCCATTCACGACGGGCGAACCGATTTTGACGATTTCCCACGAATTGTTGGGGGCCCAAATCGAAGACTAAAACCCTAGAGAGAGACGAATTAGAAGGAATTGGTGGAATTGAAGTGGGGTGTGGATACTTGAATTGGGAATACTCTAGTAATTCTCATTTGTTGTCTCTTTGTTGGCGCTTTTGCTCATCAACAACAAGGCGTTTGAGGAATTGTCCAACGGTAGCCCCCCGGCCCAGCCGGAATTCTCCAACGGCAGCGCCCATTTTGTTTACCGGGCCCAGAAGGTGGGTGTTTTGATCCCATGGAAGATGAAGCCATAGAGCTTCAATTACTTTCGAATTTGTGAAAGTTTCAATTAAGTTCAATTGAGTCCCTCGTACTTTCAATTTCATCCCTTATAATATTTTCAAGTAAAAAGACGAAAAAGCCCTTGTACTTTTGCATGTGCATCGCACTTGCGTTGAAAAATGAGAATATTCGCCGGAATATTCCCCTTAGGTGGTTATGTGCGTCAAAAAATTGAGTTTGGGTGGGCGCTTGCAACTTTTTTTAGTTAAGGTGGTAAAGTGCAAAAACGGGCAAAGTCCAGGTGGCGAAATGCTATTAACCCATTAATTAATATAATAGACGATTAATAATACATGTATATTTAATTGTGTGGGTCATCGGTTACTTTAACTTAAATATCATCCCTCAATCATTATCACTTTTTTTCTCCACCTGACTTCAATAGGTGAAAATGTGCTATATTATAACCTTCTCTTTATTTTTTTGCCTTTTATTGATTTTTCTACTATTTTTGTTTGGATAGGCACATTTGATTTTTACTGCAATTTTCACTTTTTCTTTGATAATTTATAAAAAAAAAATTATACATAATAAAACATATGTATATAATATTAGGGCCCAAGTTTTGCTTCGCCCTGTGTCCAGTATCCTAAGATCGACCCTAATGTGATGGAAAAATCCGAACTACTAAAACTAAACATTTTTTTTGTTAGTGAATTACTTAATTATACTATAAACTCCCTAAAATTTCTATTTCTTACTAAAATATCACTCGTTTTTCTAATATTGAATTAAAATTTATCAATTTTGATATTTTTATTTGTTCTATTATTTAAAACAAATATTGTTGATGAATTTGAATTTGTTTATGTAAATAATTTAAAAACAATCGCAACCTTGTGAATTTACTTGTGCGCTAATACAAAATTTTCTGATCCTAGTATAAGGAATAATTTCATATACTATTTTAGTTTGGTAAAATTTATTTTTGTTTTGTATTTTCATTTTTGCATTAATTAATGCATTGCATCAATAAAAAAATAAGAAACTATATTTTAAATATAGGGCCCCAATATTTTGGCTTCGCCTAGGATCCCCAGCATGCTAGAGCCGGCTTTGGCTCCACCACGAAAACCCTAACACCCTCTTTGAACCCTAGCCGCCAGCAAGCCATAGACAACCATAGACACCCACAAAAATCCATAGTCATCCAAAAATAAAACCCTAGATCTACAACCACAGTCACCATATCAGCCAAAATAAAAACCTAGATTTGCAAAAATGTCACCATAGCTGCCACCACCTCCATATTCATCGCCTCACGACCTTTCTCTATCTCCATAACCAACCCCCCTTCATAATTGTGACAACGACTGCCCCTAACCACCTCCATAAATATCTCTACCATACCCACGACCTCCATGGCCGCTGCCATAGCAACTCCCACAATATGCACCGCCTCTATAGCTGTCGCCATTCACCATGACCGCCTCTATAACAACCCCCACGTTACTCGCCGCCTCCAAGACCACCCCCACCGCCACCATATACGCCATAGCCATATAAATGGGAGCAAGAGAGATCGAGAGGGAGAGAGAGAAAGACTAACATAACTGTAGAGAACGTGAGAAATGAACGAGAGAAAGAAAGAGAGAGATAATAAAAGAAAAGAAACAGATCTGGAATAGAGACACCTAAATAGAGTTAATATTTAGGGTATAAGGGCAAGTTAGAGATTAAAAAAATTAGGGATGTGGGACATATTATATTTTAAAATAGGGATGTATTTAAAAAAAATAGGTTGGGGTAGCCATTTAGTTCTAATTAAATTTGTTACGAGGGACCCAAGTATATTAACCCCTAAAATCTAATTGGATTCTAATAAATAAAGGATGAGTAAATACTTGGGCAACAAGTCCTTATGTGCCGTGAAACACAAAAGGGAAGTTCCCTTGTTTACTTTAATTCTTTAATTTGTCATTAATTTTTTTATTATATAGGAAACTTATGTTTTTAATTAAAAAAAAAGTTATTCTTGTTTTAATGACTTGTCTTATACGTATATTAGGTAACTTAGACTTAGTGGACTATGGTTTTTCTTGTTGTACATGGAATCAATAAATATAGAAGAGTATATATAGATAAGAGTAGCAAGGGTCGTTACTCAGCGGCTTTTTCGAGAGAAAGCTTCAAGAAAATATTTATTATCTCGT